AAAGAATTCTTGCTGATTTTGTTACCATGGTAACCCAAGTCACATGGCAGGATGATTTTTTATTTTTTTTAATACCGACTCACTATCCAAACACTCCCACACCGTCCTTAACGTTGAACAACTTTTTAAAGACAGTATTTAATCAGGGAGCTGTTTTTTTTTCAGCACCATTGGTGGAATGTTGAGAGACTGTGTTGTTCGGGTTGTCGAATGCAAATGAGTCACTGTCCAAGTTTCTAAAGAAAGATGTAATGAGGGAGTTTTTTGCAAGGATACCACATGGTTTGCAAGTCGGTGAGCAATGGCTTTGTCATGCGCCACACAAGCAGCGCCTCATGCTGCCATGTGGACAGACGGTCGACACAGTTGTGCCTCAGTCTGCAGCTGTGATCTTCTTTGCTCAATGGAACACACACCTCTTTTCATATACACTTTTGTCTTTCATCAGCTGAGGGGTGTGTGCACACGCATGTGTGTTTGTCAAGTGTTTGAGGGCAAATAACTTAGAATTTTGTTTGAAAGGGAGTAAATAAGTTTTGGCTTATTGTCGTCTGGGAAAGTAATTGTTTAAATTAGGGCTGTGCAATTTGGGGAGAATTAACTGACTGGTACTGTGATTTTTATTTATTTATTTTTCGATATTATTTGAGCTTTTTGTTTAAGTTTAAGAGTCTCTTTAACACTTATGTTTATTTTATTATAAAGAGATCTGATATTTAGTTTAAATGTTTTGCATTCATTCATTCGTTTTCTTTTGGGCTTAGTCCCTTTATTCTTCTGGGGTTGCCACAGGGGAATGAACCGCCAACTTATCCAGCATATGTTTTACAAAGCCGATGCCCTTCCAGCTGCAACCCATCTCTGTGAAACATCCATACACACTTATTCACACACATACACTATGGACAATTTAGCTTACCCAATTCACCTGTACCACATGTCTTTGGACTTATGGGGACAACCGGAGCACCCAAAGGAGACTGAATGCGAATACAGTGAAAACATACAAACTCCACTCTGACACGACAACTGACCCAGCCGGGGCTCGAACCAGCAACCTTCTTGCTGTGAGGCAAACGTGCTAACCACTGCGCCACCGTGCAGCCCCCTCAAATGTTTTTGTTTTTAAATATTAAAACTATATAAAAAATCCTAATTTACCTAAATATATTGTTAAAAATATTCAATTATAGATGTTGAATGATATGAAACATGATATCGTGATATATATATTTTTTTTTAAATATAGCCCAACCCTTAATGAGAGCTTGCGCCACATCTGACAGGACCAATAGTTTCTCAGAAGTTAATCGCTTTAATTTCACGATTGTTGTTTATTCATTTGGCTTAGTCTCTTTTTTAATCAGGGGTCACCACAGAGGAATGAACCGCTAACTTATCTAGCATATGTTTTACGCAGCGGATGCCCTTCCAGCTGCAATCCAACACTAGGAAACACCCATACACTCTTGCATTCACACACATACACTTTAGGCAATCTAGCTTAATCAATTTGCCTACTATATAGCGCATGTCTTTGGACTGTGGGGGAATCTGGAAATTTCTGTACTTTTAGTCTCACAGAATGTTGTCTCACAGCAATAACAACGTTGTTTTGATAAGATTACATTGACGTTACATTTATTCAAGGGTTTACAAGCAGAGGAAGACGCAAGTTAGCTCTTGTATGTTATGCATAGCCTACAGTAGCCACAACATGTGAGGAGGTAAATGATGCATGGAGCGTGAGCGATCGATGTGCTCACGTCTCAACAGCTAACATATATACAGATGCAGTGCAACCTGTTTAAACAGTCAATTGGTGCGAGTCTTGTGAGTGATGCTCTCTTTGTTGCAAATTTAGCCATTGTTTTCCAGTGTTTTGAGCTGTAGCAACGCAAGCGGAGTGATTGGCCCTATCTAGTGTCTCATCCAACCTTATGACCTCTCCCGGAAGCTCCACAAGTCATACCGGCTCCGAGATCCCCAAAAATGAGTTAACTGGTTTACATTACTTTAGAGTTTATATAAACACATTTATTAAATTAGTCCTACTGGCTGTTAATTATGTTCTGTATAAACCAGAGTGGTTTCTATTTTTTACTTTTCAGGGCCCTTGTTTTCCACTATAGTATTTAATCCCCCTTGTCAATGTGAACTTGTCCAGTTGGTTGTGATTTACTTGAGAGGAACTGACCTGCGACTTTAGCCATCTTCACCTATTTTGAATCCGCATTGTTCATTTACATATACTACTCACATTGTAATGCTACAATGTTTACTCTTTCTCTTTGTTAGCTTGACTGAGAAACTCACATTTATCTGTGAGCAAATGTCTGTTGGATTCTGTCAAATTGGATTTTTGATGGCTTCTAGGCTTTTTGTGAAATCTACAGGTTTTACCCTACTTTTTTATATCTTTGCTCAGGGATATTCTGATCAGGTTTGTTGACAAAGTTGAATCAAAATTGAATTAGATCTAACTGATGAAGCGTGCATATGAAATGTTTCTTTAATTTTTATTGTCAGTGGATTTGTCTATGTAAATTATGATTATGGTTGTGTACTCGGTTAACACCTTTATGGTACAATTTGAACAATGAGGCAAGACTCTTCTCATTGTTTTTCCTCTTTGATTCCAATGAACTGACTCAAAATCCGGTTCAATTTTAAAATATAGTGGATAGAGGTTTTCTTTTCAGATTTCCCCTTATGGTTTCTTTTTCATATGTGATTGTTTGTAGCTTTTTGCTACTTGCATAACTAGAAATGTATTTTCATTCATACCTAAGATTTTATTAGGGTGCTTTCACAACTGTAGTTCGCTTCATTTGTTCCGGACCTAGGGCAAAAAAGGAATCATTGTTGCATTTTCTGCCGTCTTTGGGTCGTTTTCACACCACACTGCTGGTTTTGGTCCGAACCAGTTAAAACGAACCAAATTGCAGTCATCTGACAAAATCCACATCTCTGATTGGCCAGATGTTATTGAACATATTTCCTAAACTGCATATTGATTGGTCTGAATTCACGTGTGGGAAAATGCCAATAAACTCCCGCAAGTAAACAAAACCGGCAGACACAATGTCGTTTTTACTATGAAGGGACGACAGCGCTGACTGATTGTATGCCTGCTTTAGACAAACTATACATTTCGAGAATGAAGCGCGGTTGCGGCTGTATTAAAACAAGGCATCACTAAATGCATCACTCGTCACTTCAGGCGGCGGCGTGAATTAATTTAGCCAAACTGCGACATGGTCATCTTACGGAAATATTACCAACAATCCATCAGGTAATGTTTTTCCCTCTCTCTCTGTTGGTAAAACGCTGTCAACAAACATTTTCCTCCATATCCCATAATGCACTGCACATAGGCCTACAGCAGCTGGATTAGTCCAAAAAGCGCAGTGCTTTTTGCGGTTGGACCTGTTTTAATACGGATCATATTCTTACCACAAACGATCTGCTCCAGGGTTCGTTTGAAAGCGTACTGAGACCACCTCTTCAAGCAGGTCTCGGTACGCTTATTTGGTCCGCTTTTGGTGCGCACTCGAGTACGATTGCTGCATTCTCACCTGCCCAAACTAGGGTTGTAACGGTATGAATTTTTCACGGTATGATAATCGTCTAAAACAATACCACGGTTTGAAGGTTTCGCGGTATACGGTATGTTACAAATGTTACAAAATAATAGAACAGTGAAGCAAATTTGACTTTTTCCAAATAATATATTTTTAGTTACTATAAACAACACCACTTACAATGAACAAATAAAAATAAGAAAATAATAAATAATGTGTCAAAGTCCAAATAAAGTCCAAATAAACATGGTGCAAATCCTCAGTAAAAAATAGATATAAATATTTACTATACTATAAATAGTTACATAACGAAACTAGATTCAATATGGAACATCCTTAGGTTTTATGTGCCAGCATGGATATGGTTGTCTATCGATATGGATTTGGATATGGTTGTCTGCAATGCAGACAAACAGCTGCATCTTCATTTGCGTCTTTTGAAAACAGCAAGAGCAGCAGTTCGTCTTTGCTGTGTCACTGTTTTGTCATGTTTCTGTGCTGCTGTGCATGCAAAAGTACTTAGTATGAGAATTATTTCATGCAAAACTTTTTTTTTTGCGTTTTATTTAGCCGCGCATAAATGTATGCCTATCTCTCATTCCGTGTTGTTCAAAAAGCTTGGTCCACAAACAAAAGCGAAACCTATGCTTATTGGTTGTGATATAGCGAGTTTGAACCAATCTGGGCATGGAGGAGGGACAATGCATCAATGTATCATGTCTGATTTGTCCGGAGACACAGTGACGAGCGTTTCTTTATCAAATCAGCGTTGTCAAATGTTGATGACGTAACCGCACTGATTCTGGAGCCTCTGAAAGTCCGCGAATGTTATGTGATACAGCACTGGAAAGCTGAGATTCTCTTCTTTATGCCAATCTTTGAATTGTATGAATCGGATCAGCGGATCAAAAGTTATTAAACATTTAAGAGCAATACTTATTTTTAGCCTCGAGCTGTCTCGGTCTTTAAGGGTTAAAACCGTTGATATGCAATTGTTCATGGTATGATAATCGTGCACGTTCAAATCGTGGTAAACCGTCATACCGGTATATTGTTACAACCCTAGCCCAAACGAACCGTAACCAAAAGGGAAAACGAACTCTAGTGCGATTCAATCGAACTAAATGAGGCAGGTGTGAAAGCACCCTTAGATTACATATCTTTTGGCAAGACATACTGATTGAAGTTCTGATTTATCAAGGTATTCAAAGTTTGGTTTGTATACTGTAGTACACATCAACTGTATAATGGGCCAAATGAATCAGTTTTACATTCTATTAATTTTATTTACATTAACAATACCAGCTGGACAAGAGCTTACTCTGAAAAAGTCATAATATTGACATTGGTTGCTACTTCAGTGTTTACATTTTCCTCTCTCTTACACAAGCTTAAACTCCCTTCTTAATTTTACAGGTACAAGTTAACCTCTGTGGGAATTTGAGCTGTCTGAAAGAGAGCAACACTATACCAAAGGTAAGCCGCTATTCTGCATGTAGTATTTGATCTGCTGGTGTATTATCTTCTTGTGACAGAAATCTAGGTCTAGAAAGGTTACAGCTTTTATTATGAAGTTTTCTGTATAAGTACAAACAAATATTAAGTGAAATAATCAAATACTGCAAGCTTGACAAGAAGGAATATATTTTTGCGGTTACTGAAATGCCACATTCAATATATGCATGACAGATAATGTCTGCAGGAAGTTGGCTGCCTGATTTTTATGTCTGCTGTTTTTTGTCCTCAAGCTAACAAGAAAATATCTCAACAAAGATGTCCATTGTGCACAATAATACATATGTTTTGAGTGGAACCTTTGGAAGTGCAGAAATGAGAAGAAGAAAGGAAAGGAAGTGAGTTTGGAAAGAATTATAGAAGTTTGGGAGACTTTTGATTGAGGCTTTAGCAATCGGACATGCCAGCTGGGATTTTGGAAGTAATGCCAGTAATGAGTGCAACCATTTGAAGCCTTGGAAGCTCCAGAGAGCTCCATGTTTAACATGCTGAATGAACTGGAATATTTTCTGAAATCAGATTGCAGTGTTTGTGTAGGTTGGCATTTACTGTAAAGATTCATGGTTGTATTTGCTGTGCTGCTGCTGAAATGTGTTGTTACTCTTCATAAAGACTGAATACCTTGTTCCACTTAATTCAGTCAAGAGAGGGGATTTAAATAGAAAGTACTTTTTTAGGTCGCATAACATGTGGACCTGTCTTTATAACTAAGCAAAAAAAAACTTTTCCTAACATCTTTAATGTAATCTTTAAGGTTTTACCATATTTTTGAATTATCTTAATGTTTAGTTGTGAATAAAACTTATTATTTGTTTTTTTTTTTATAAATATTTGTAGTATTTGTTATATAACAGCTATATAACAGTTATACATCTATTAAAATTTTCTGCTACTCATTAATAGCAGCACGAGTGGTCTTTAATGAACCTAAAAAAGCACATGTCACTCCGCTGCTCATCCGTTTGCACTGGCTGCCAGTTGCCGCTCACATCAAATTCAAAGCTCTGATGTTTGCTTGCAAAGCGACTTCTGGCTTTGCTCCTTCTTATCTGCTCACTCTTCTGGAATGAACTCCCTAAGTCACTCGCTGTCTTCAAGAAACAACTAAAAACTCAACTATTTAGTCTCCACTTTCCTTCCTAATCTGCAATTGCCACTCTGGCTCCACCGCTAACTGTACTAAAAAATAATAATAATAACAATATAAAAAATTACTAATGTTTTGCTTCTTACACTTTACATATCTGAAACTTGCCTACAGCACTTATTCATCATTGCTCTTATAGTTGTGTAAATTGCTTCCTTGTCCTCATTTGTAAGTCGCTTTGGATAAAAGCATCTGGTAAATTACTAAATGTAAATGTACAACCAAATTTTTATCTTAAGAAATCAGAAACATAAAAAGAACTGTAGCATTTGTGTTATTTGTATATCTAGGCTGTAGGTTAGTGTAGCACAACTTCCCTTAAAACTAATGATGTTAATAAATAATAAGAAGAAGAAGAAGAAGAAGAAAAAGAAGAAGAAGAAGAAGAAGAAATCTGCCCAATATAAACAATAAAAGATTGTAATTATGATTCATACACTCAAGGTGTTATGCACATAATTTGTGATAAGTTATATGCAATGTGTGACATTTAATACTAATAATATTTCCTTACATTTATATAGTGCTTTTCACTCAAAGCTATTTACACATTGGGGGGAATCTCGTCATCCATCACCAGTGTGCGCAGCATCCATCTGGAAGACACAAGGGCAGCCATATTGTACCAAACCACACACTTGCTGATAGGTAGAGAGGAAACAGAATGAGGAAGCCAATTATGATATGGGGATGGCTGGGAGGCCATGATGGACAGGCCATGGAACAAATTTATCCAGGGTGCTGTGGTTAAACTCTTACTCTTTTTCGAAAGACATCCTGGGATTTTTAACTTCCATCTCGGTTTAATGTCTCATCTGAAAGACGGTGCTCACTGAGCAGTATAAAGTCTCCATCAATAAACTGGGGCATTAGGCTCCACACAGACTGAGGTTAAATGCCCCTGCTGGCATTACATTTGTAAAACCTAAGATGTCTAAATGCAACATAGACACCAAAATTATAAGAATATTATTTAAACAAGATTTGTTGTTATTGTTCTACAATAGTTTTTCATCCTTTTCAGAATTTGTTGAAATATCAAAGTCATAAATAAACAACAAATTTTTCTTTTTGAAACAGAGGTAGAAGAACTAAACTTCAGTCATTGCACAAACGTAGCATTATTAGCAAAACCACAAAATTGACTCATTGTAGTATTCTACTTCTGCTGTTTGCTGATTTTAAATATGTGGTGTCTCTATTTAAACCGTTTAATTTAAGCTATTCTAAAGTAGCGACATTTATTTAATGGCATGGTTTTTGAACAAAACTTTTAAAAGGCCGAAATGTCCGAACTAGGCATAGGCTGGTATAAGATTCTGACTATAACCTTGGATAAAATATCACGTTTTCACTGTATTGTGATTACTGCTCTAAAATATATTCTTTTTAAATGTCTGGGTAAAAAGACATTTTTTCCCCTCTTTGAACACAATATATTTTATTTTAATTAACATTTAAAATATTTTGGAGCTGTAAACATGTCAGGCTAAATACTTCAAATGAATCGTTGACTTCTTTTTTAAAAGCACAAATTTATCACATTTTAAAATAGAATCCTTGGATATTTTTTATTTAGCTGAAGATACTGTTGTTCTAAAAAAAAAAACACAAATAAAAAATCTTACACATACCCTAGGAAAGGTATAGCAGAAAATTTTGGTGGTTTTAAAACCTTGACTTTTGCAAACTGCGGTATATCTTGAAAACTATTTCCGTCCCATGCCTAGTCCAAACATGCGTAAGAGAGACCGAATAAGACAATAATGAAATTAATATATAATTCAATTCAATTCATCTTTATTTCTATATCGCTTGTAGAATGTAGATTGTGTCAGATCAGCTCAACATAGATGAATCGATAATATCAAGATATATCCAGATAATATCAATATCGTAGATGAATAGATTTTGTGAGTGGCTACTATATGTATCTTGTACGTCACTCTGATAACGGCATTCATTAGCTATGTTTCCATCCACCTATTTTTATGTGCATTTTGGATATGAGCATAAAAAAAACATTTAATGGAAATGGCAAGATGCGCATAAATTTTGAAAATGCACATAAAACATGCACATAACCGAGTAGGATGAACTTTTTATTCCATAAGAAAAGATGTGCAATAAAATACAATGAAAACACTTTTATTAAAAAAAAAAAATCACGTGACTTTGTTATAAGAGATCATGTGATGATAAAAGTCTGTGCAAATGGATAAATCAGCAGACTGAGCACATTGACCAACAACATTTAAGATGTTTTACATTCTAAAATGCCTTAACCATTTCAGTATTAATCTTATTATATTATTAATTACCGCCAGAATCAAAACTGTCTGTGCTTTGCGTCTCACACCTGTAATGGCCACTGTGCATTCACTGTTAGTCAGGATTGCCTTATGATGCACAAGTCCTCTATTAAATAAAAAAAAGATTGACACAACTTCTCCTACCACAGCAAATTCAATTTTATTGTTGATATTTGGCTCCAGTTAATCAGGAAATGACGATTTTGTTCGTTTTGACTCTTTGAATGGAAACGCTGCTTTATTCGCACATCTTTTATAAGATAATGCAGTTTTGCGCATAAAGTTAATTTGCATTTTTAGATGGAAACATAGCTAGTGACAATGTATTTCATTGTCAACAATTATTGATTTTGTTTTCAATTAAATGTTGGAGCCCAATTCGTCATTTTACAACAATTCAGTTATAACAGTTACAAATTCCCTCACCACAGTCTACAACTCTTGTAAATAGATTTTTAGACACGTTTAAAAATAAGCTACAGAATGTCCTGTCTGAGTCAGACTCTGTGACACGAGGCTCTCAGGTGACCTGGCTCTAGATTCTAACTCACCTTGAGTGTCAAAATAAACTGGGTTGACATGTTTTGGATTACCATTGCTCACAAGTTTAACAAGTAGCTTCCAACTGCTTCACTTCTACTTGCAGTCCAAGGGCGCCTCCTTTTCAACACTAACCAATACAGCTGCCGAGTCAGAGGTCATGAGCTGACATTGGGTGCGACAGTATGCCGCCCAACTCTCAGCAACCCGTTTGTTTTTGGGGACATGCCATTTTCGGATGAACGTGCCATTCCCAGCTGCCAGAGACATGTAGTCTTCTGTCATGTCTGTGTGTACACCACTGACTTGCAGCAGGCTCTCAGAGTTAACAGTTGGCCAATGCTACACATGAAGTGCAAGAAAGAGTAAATTTGTCCACGGAATCAGTTTTAGAGAATATTTCATGTAAGGAAATTGGTATTTGAAGAGCCTTTACGCGGATGGACGAGTCATATAAGAAGAAAGTTCTTTTAAAAAAAAAAAAAATTTATATGCATATGTAATTTTGAATCATTTCTGCAATATTCTAATTAAGAATCACCAAATTTTGAGTTTTTAATGCCTCAGATTTATAGTGTAAATAATGCGAAGTGATATGTTTTGTATCATATAATGGATATGAAAGATAAATATATTGCAGTGCTTCCCACAGGTTTGAAATATACTTGCGATGATAGCTGGATTGAACACCCCTTTATATATATATATATATATATATATACACACACACACTCTTTGTATGCTATTCAGGACCCATGTGCACCCACTGAAAGGTCAAATCTGCTTCTCTCTGTCTCTCATTCATGTTCAGGTTGCTTTATTGGCATTACATTTTGTACAGTATTGCCAAAGCATTTTAAATGTATAAAATATGTAACATTGATATAATCAAATTAGTAAAATATACAGTAAATGAGAAATAAATAACAGAAAAAATAAATAAAACAAAATATCTTATAATA